AATTATAATTTATTATTCCATGGGAAAAGAAAACCTTTTCTCTCCCTCTGTTTTCTTTTTCTTTATTCTTCTTTGCCTTCTCTCCCTCCCTCACCCCTGCTCTCTTTCTTTCTTTCTTCCTTTTTTTCTGTATCTTGCTAAGTTGCCCAGTCTGGTCTCGAACTCCCAACCCTTCCATTTCAGCTTTTTAGTAGAAAAAATTATGTAAATGAGCAGGAAGGAAATTTCAAGCCATCCCACATTACTCATATGGTATTGTTATTTTCCTTCAACCACTACCTAAGTTCATACCATTGGCAGATGTTCTGATTTGCACTATAAATGCTGCTGTGCCTCTCTGAGTATTTCACTGTTACATGGTACTTAGAGATAATTTAAAGAACTAGCTAATAGTTTCATTTGTTTTTCTATAAGAACTTTGATTAATGTACTTCCTGACCACTCAGACAAAACAGATTAAGCAAAGGGGAAAAGTAAAATCAAAAGCACATAAATGTAAATACAAAAAAGTTGTTTTCTTCAGGGTTCGTATTTATCAATATGACTTTCCTTAACTCCCCACTGTCAACCCCAAGCCAGCTAATGAAAGTTTTTTTTTAAATTGCTGGACCATCTCAATTTTAACAATTGCTATGGTTTTTGAAAACTGTCCTCTATTTGTGGCCTATTACTAACTTGCTTATAAAAGTGATACATTGTTGTTGCTATGGTTTTGATTAAGTAGCTTTGTCTATCATCGCTGATTGCTTCATTATAGAAAAGAAATGTCTGGAAGTTGTATCACTGTTATTGATATTAAATGAGTGAGTGCACATAGCCTATCCTGTGACCAGAATAAACTGTGCACGGTGACACACGCTCTAATTCTAGGAGTTCATTCCTGAATGCTGATTTTCAGACATCCACTTTAGTCTTACGAAACCTGGAGTCCTCCATCTCACCGTGGATTTCATAGTGAACACCTGAGCTCAGGGGAGAAGGACAGGGAGGACACGTAGACAGCAGGGACAGCCTGGGAGGACTGACCCGAAGGCCAGAAGAAAGAGTCTCCACATGTCCTCGTCTGTTCACTATTACCCGCCCTACGAGGCTTCATTTTAAATTCCACTTTTTGTATTTTGCATGATTTATTGGAGAGCCAAGAAGCATTTCACTTATTCACAAATTTTGGTTCTGTTGCGACCTCCTAGAATGAACTGAAATTCAGCAGTGACAGCTCTAACTGGATCTGGAAAGTGAGGGTGGTGCAGGATAGTGAATATCCAACATGTGGTACTTTCTGGAATCAAGCAGACTGAGTTAAATTCTACATGAAAGACCAGTACTCAGAACCAAATTGCTTTCGACCTGGCAAGAAGCGAAGTAGGAGTCAAAGAGGTGAACAGAGGAGCTGGTCAGATGCTAAGGGCAAATGCTGTCTAACTTTCAAACCTTCAGCCAAGACAGAAAGAGAAAATCTCCTTTGGAGTGTGCCATTCTATTCTTTGTAAACCACCTGGTCCCACAGGACTCATTCCTGGGACTGTCTTTCAGCCATGAATAGGAGAAAGATTTTGGGACCTAATCTTGATTATAATGTGTTTCTGTGGCAACATGCTTTCTGTGTTATTTAAGGGTACACCTTTCTGCCAACTGAGGACTGACTGTTTATGAATCTAATGATTGACAGGATTCTGGTTTCTCTTTGTAGGAAAAGCTGAACATCAACCAAAAGAACCTCCCTATGTTAAGAAAGGTATTTGGTTTTGATCTTTTTTTGGGGGGGGTTATATTCTGCCTTAATTTGTTGTTTTGTTAAATATGAAAATCAGCAACATGTCAAATGTCAATTAGGACTTTAGCTGATAATTTCAGAAGACAAGTTATACTGGAGAAAGAAAACATATTTATATGCTATAGATTTAAGCTATTATTTGTTATTCTTCCTAAGATTTTATAATACCATTTTATTCACACTATATTTGGAGAGTGCAATTGTAGAATTACTGATGAATTTTCAGAAAGGACAATGGCAAGATATGCATTCTCCAGTATTTGGAAACAAGAAGATCAGATTGCAGTAAACATCTATGTCATATCAACTTAAAAATGATACTTCGGAGGAATAAAAGGGGCACTTCAAAGTTCTTTCTGATAGATTTATAGTTAAATTCATTGGGAAAATGTGTCAATTTACTCAAAAAATTACTTATTGTTATTTTAACATACACAGCGTTGTTTTTCAAGTCTCACTATTAAAAAAGCAGAAACAGCAAATATAAAAGGCTAATGTATCATCCACAGATCCAAAATTATCACTGATTTTCTTTTTCTTTTATTTTTAGATAAACTGAAATCGAGTTCAAGTAAGTGTATCAATTTAAGATTTTAAGAATAGTCTACCTTATTTTGATTTTATATTTTCCTTGAGTTGAACATGAAGATTATAGTATGGCATGTTTTGAATGTAATAACCATACTGCTGTAAACCTATATGCGATCCTGGTTGACAAATCACTTTGTGTAAATCCCATTGGTGATTCCTTGAGCTTGCATTTGTTGAGTCCTCACTCGGAATACTGTGGTGTACTTGCCCAGCTGTCACACTTGTGCAGTTAATACATTTATCCTAAACTACTTCCAGCACAGAACATGTGTTGGCCTCTCTCTTTTGCCTACTTTCAGTTGTTTATTAGGTTTTATTAAGTAAACATTACCATGAAGATGCCTCTACTAGTCACATTGAGGGTTAAGAAATGTTCACTTCTCCAAAGACTTGCCTTGAATTACTTAATATCAACTCATTAGCTTTTTCTTTTCTTTGGTACCAGGGATCGAACTCGGGTCCTTGCACTTGCAAAGCAGGCAGTGGAACCACTGAGCTAAATCCCCAGCCCTCATTAGCTTTTTATTTTTCTCAATTTTTCAATGCTTTGAGATTCATTATCTTCAGCGATTCATAATCATTATTTTACTTATGACCTTCTGAACAATAATAACATGGAACATTAAATAATTAAATTGTTTAAATAATTCTATCAACATATTACCCAGACATTACTCTGAGGTAAAAATATATAAAGACAATTAAGGATGAAGAGGTTGCTTTTTAAATACTTCAAATGCCAAAGATTAATCTGCTTTCTTAGCATTATGAGTAGTCCCTTAAAAATGCTACTACACAGATTTGATGCCAATCTCAAATATCAAACATTGTCCTTCAACCAGGAGAGGCTCACACAGTTTGAACTACTGCTACTAATGTGAAGAATATTACTAAAATTAAGCTTTTTGTGTTAAACTGGAATGCTAATTACTTGAAAATCTTATTTTTTAGGAAACATTCATTATTTATTTTCATTATTATACTTTCATCACCT